TCTGCAAGGAAGTAGCAGCCAATAAAGAAAGGACCAAGGCAGTGATATCTCTGGCTCATTTCCTGTTCGGATATCAGTCAGCATGCCAACGCCTTAAATCAAGAAATAGTTTCCTAAGATCTACAGAGATACTCACAGGAACGTCTCAGCAAGCAAGAATCCAAAAGTGGCAGACTAAAACCCGGAACCTCAATCCGTGGCTGGTACCAAATGAAAGACTCCCTCCCGGGCACACAGAAGGATGGGCGACTTGGAAGGTGCTGAACAGACTGCGTTCTGGCACCACGAGATGCAGAGCCAACCTTCAGAAATGGGGCCACAAAGTGGAGTCCATGACATGCGAGTGTGGAGAAGAGCAAACCACAGACCCCCTGTTCCAGTGTGCCTTCCCAGAATAAAGAAATAATTCCCAGCAATATGTCCTCAGAATGCACTTTAACTATTGGATTGCGTTGGACTGCGCTCCCCTCACTTCTTTAAAACCCTCCTACCAGATATATCCTACCTTGTTCATGCCCAGCGTTGATTTTTTAAATTTTAAACTATTACATTTGGCCTGGCCATAGGTTTTTAAATCCTTGTGTGTTATTGTTTATATGCGATTTATATTAATTTGTATTGCATTGTATTGTTTTATTTATTGCTTCCTGTTTTATTGATGTGTTGTTGGGATTGGCCTCATGTAAGCCGCTCCGAGTCCCTTGGGGAGATGGTGGCAGGGTATAAATAAAGTTTTATTATATTACCAACTGTCCCCTGCCACGCGTTGCTGTGGCCCACATGGGGGTTCTGTGTGGGAGGTTTGGCCCAATTCTATTGTTGGTGGGGTTCAGAATGCTCTGTGAGTGTAGGTGAACTATAAATCCCAGCAACTATAACTCCCAAATGTCAAGATTCTATGTTTCCCAAACTCCACCAGTGTTCACATTTGGGCATATTGAGTATTCGTGTAGAGTTTGATCCATCATTGTTTGAGTCCACAGTGATCTCTGGATGTAGGTGAACTACAACTCCAAAACCAAAGGACAGTGCCCACCAAACCCTTGCAGTATTTTCTGTTTGGTCATGGGAGAACTGTGTGCCAAGTTTGGTTCAGTTCCATTGTTGGTGGGGTTCCGAATGTTCTTTGATTGTAGGAGAGCTATAAATCCCAGCAACTACAACTCCCAAATGACAAAATCATTTTTTTTTTGAGTGAAGGACATACATTGGGTTGTTAGGTGTCTTGTGTCCAAATTTGGTGTCAATTCATCCCTGGTTTTTGAGTTTTGTTAATCCCACAAATGAACATAACATTTTTATTTATATAGATGATGATGATGATGATGATGATGATGATGATGATGATTATTATTATTATTATTATTATTATTATCATTATTCCAATACAGCCTGAGCCCTGCCACATGCACAATGGAGGACCTTCTTGCAGCAACACCAGAGGCACTCCAAGTGGCTCTGGTCAAAGAACATTTAGGACAATGCCAAGTTTTTAAACTTTGTGCTTTTTAAATACATTACATAAGAAAAGAAGCCCTTTTTACTGTTTTTAATGTCCCTGGCAAGCCTGAGCTTGTTTTGTGCTTTAGCCTTGCGGACCTTTTCCCTACAGGTGTTGGCTATTTGTTTGAATTCTTCTTTGGTGATTTCTCCTTTTTCCACTTCTTGTGTATGTCTCTTTTGTGTCTTAGCACAGTTAGAAGTTCTTTGGACATCCATTCTGGCTTCTTTGCACTTGTCCTATTTTTTCTCTTTGTTGGCACGGTTTGCAATTGCGCCTTGAGTATTTCACTCTTGAGAAATTCCCATCCATCCGTAACTCCCTTGTCTTTTAGTATCTGTGTCCACGGAATGCTGCTCAGTGTTTCCTTCATTTTTCGGAAATCAGCTCTCTTAAAGTCCAAAAAACGGGTTTGACTTGTCTTAGTTTCGGCCTTCCTTTGTACCTCAAATTGCAGGAGCACATGGTCACTTGCCCCTAAGTATCTTACCACTTCAACCGCATCGATCAGGTCCTCTGCGTGTGTTAGGATGAGATCAAGAGTAGCCAATCCCCTTGTTGCCTCTTCTACCTTCTGGACCATGAAATTGTCTGCAAGGCAAGCGAGGAATTTATTGGACCTTGTACTCTTGGTCGAGTTTGTTTTCCAGCATGAAGGAAGTGGCATCTCCATGCCTTCCTTCATGCCCATTGCCTGTTTCTGAACCCACTCAAACTTTTCTCTCTCCTTCTTCAGTGAAGGCACAAGAGAGCAATGAACGCAGGACTCCAGGCACATCCTGATTGGTGCAGGGTCACTCTGAGCTTCCCTGGGAATGCTGCTGGAAGGAGGAGGAGGAGGAGAAGGGCGAAGAGGGAGGGCTGGGGAGAGCCCACCCCGGCCCAACCTCCTCTCATTGGAGCCTCCCTCTCTGTATGAATAGCTGAAGAGGAGGCATTGCCTGGGAGTCTTCTCCATTCACTTGCCAGTGAGGGCAGCTTCTCCTCGGCTCTCTTCTTCCTGCAAGCAAACCCAAGAGACAGCTTCTGCCTTTCCTTCTGCCGGAGGGTCATGGAGAGCATCCTGGGTTCTCGCACCTTGGGCGAGGAGTCTGTCCAGATGTGGGAGCTCAACAAGCGCCTAGAGGCCTACCTGGCCCGGGTGAAGTCCCTGGAGGAAGAGAACGGCCTGCTGAAGTCGGAGATCCAGAACCTGAGGTCAAGTCCCTTGGAGACTTCCTGCTGGAGGGGCCACTACGAGGAAGAGGTGGCCACCATGAGGGCCGCCTTGGACCAAGCGTTCCGAGAGAAACACGCGGCCGAACTGGCCCGGGAAGCCCTCCATGACCAGGTCCGGCAGGTCAAGGGCCAGTGCCAAAAAGAGCGGGTGGCCCGGGAAGAGGCTAAGAGGCTCTTGGTGGCCGGCAAGAAGCAACTGGAGGAAGAGCGGAGGGCTGTCCTGTGGCTGCAGAAGAAGGCAACCCAGCTGGAGAAGGAGGCCGAAGGGCTTGTGGAAGTCCACCAGGAGGAGTTAGCTAGGCTGGAGCAGGAGGCGTGTGGTTTCTCCCGCAGCTTGGAGGAAGGCTTCCGTGTGGTGGTCCCACCAGGATGCTTCCAGCCCCGAGAGGTGGAGGACTATGCCCAGCAGCTCTCCTCCATCTGGCAAGGAGCAGTGGAGACCTACAAGCGTGGTGTCTCCCAGGCTGAGGCCTCGCTCGGCCAGGCCAAGGAGGAGCTCCGGAGGGCCACCCAAGGCAACCGAGAGAGTCAACTCCAGCTCCAGCAGCTGGAGGCCGAATTGACTGACTTGACAGGACGCAAAGAGGCATTGGAAGAGAGCCTCTCCCATCAGGGGCAGCTCCTGCAAGGAGAGGCTGAGAAGCTCCAGGTGGGTGGACACCAGGCATGCACTTGGCTTGAGAAGGGAGGGAGAAGCTGATATGAGGATCCTTCTCAACAGGATACATGCAGAACTTCAACCCTCTATGTATTTTGGACTTTGATTCCCAGAAATCTCCGGAATTGAAGTCCAAAACACCTGGAGGGGCAGTGCCTCTTCCATCAGTGGCAGCTCCTGCAAGGGGAGGCCGAGAAGCTCCAGGTGGGTGGACACCAGGCATGTACTTGGCTTGAGAAGGGAGGAAGAGCCTGGTATGAGGACCCTTCTCAACAGGATGCATGTAGAACTTCAGCTCTCTATGTATTTTGGACTTTGATTCCCAGAAATCTCAGGAATTGTGGGAATTGAAGCCCAAACACCTGGAGGGGCAGAGCCTCTCCCATCAGGGGCAGCTCCTGCAAGGGGAGGCCGAGAAGCTCCAGGTGGGTGGACACCAAGCATGAACTTGGCCTTAGAAGGGAAGAAGAGCCTGGTATGAGGACCTTTCTCAACAGGATGGATGTAGAACTTCATCCCTCCATACGTTTTGGACTTCAATTCCCAGAAATCCCAGGAATTGTGGGAACTGAAGTCCAAAACACCTGGAGGGGCAGTGCCGGACAGCTCCTGCAAGGGGAGGCCGAGAAGCTCCAGGTGGGTGGACACCAGGCATGAACTTGGCTTGAGAAGGGAGGGAGAAGCTGGTATGAGGACCCTTCTCAACAGAATGGAGGTAGAACTTCAGCCCTCCATGTATTTTGGACTTTGATTCCCAGAAATCTCCGGAATTGAAGTCCAAAACACCTGGAGGGCCAGTGCCTCTTCCATCAGGGGCAGCTCCTGCAAGGGGAGGCCGAGAAAATCCAGGTGGGTGGGCACCAGGCATGAACTTGGCCTTAGAAGGGAGGAAGAGCCTGGTATGAGGACCCTTCTCAACAGGATGGATGTAGAACTTCATCCCTCCATAAGTTTTGGACTTCAATTCCCAGAAATCTCAGGAATTGTGGGAACTGAAGTCCAAAACACCTGGAGAACCAAAGTTTACTCATGCCTGATGTCATCCTCATCCATAATTTCTGGGGAGTAGAATTCCTCCATCTGCCTCAATGGAAAAGATCTCTCTCCCCAATCCCTGTCATTCCCACCAGAGTCCATCAATCAACTTGGACAGGACATGACTCCTTATCTCTATCTCCCAACTAGGTAGTTCCAGGGGGAAACCATCAAGTATCCCGAGCCCAAGGAAGGGCACCAGCCCTGCAGGATCATGCAGGGAGGCTAAAGGGGGCTAATATAGGCCAGGTCAATAGATCCGATGCTGGTATTGGTGGAAGGAGGTGGAAGGGAGTTCCTTGGACTCCTGGGTGGCAAAAGAGTCCTCTGCCTCAGCAATGGCCATCCATCCCTACTGTTCTTCTCGCAGCTTCAAG